AGATTCATCCTGGAGAGGGTTAAACCAGGCTGTTCCTTGGAGGCAAGGATTCTGAGACTCCGTCTGACATACTTTGGACATGTTGTAAGGAGGGAATGGTCCTTGGAGAGGTACATCATGCTTGGTAGGGTGGAGGGACAGCACAGGAGGGGAAGACCCTCTATGAGGTGGATTGATTCAGTGACTGGGATAATCGGGATGGGAGTGTTGGAGACGGTGCGATTGGCACAGGACAGAGCAGAGTTTGGGGCTGTTGTACATAGGGTTGCTATGAGTCGCAAGCAACTCGACGGCACGTATCAACAACAACAGCAATCTTTACGAAAGCAGATTGCTAGACCTTTCTCTCACAGAGCCACCACCTGAGTTCAAACTGGCAACCTTTTGCTTAGCAGCTGGGCTACCAGAGTTCCTGGTCTTATAATTAAAATATTACTTTCTTTCTTAAAGAACCACGGTTGCATTACAGATAAAGTGTTGGGCTGCTAACCAAAAAACCTGCAGTTTGAATTTATCAGCCACTCCTCAGGAGAAAGATAAAGTTATCTCTTCCCATTAAAGATGTAATGGGAATGATTGTATGAAACACAATGTCAATGAAGAATAGTGTGAAATTCAATATATATGAACTTTGTAGGAAAATCAGCTCTCCGTCCTCCAGGCCAAGTCGGACGCCCCCGCGTCCTCGGGCTTCTTCACGGGGCTCAAGTCCCCCACCCCCGAGCAGTTCCAGAGCCGGGAGGACTTCCGCACCGCCTGGCTTCACCACCGCAAGCTCGCCCGGTCTTGCCACGACTTGGATCTGCTGGGCCAGAGCCCAGGCTGGGGCCAGACGCAGGCGGTGGAGACCAACATCGTGTGCAAACTGGACAGCTCCGGGGGTGTCCTGCAGCTCCCCGACACCAGCATCACCATCCACGTGCCCGAGGGGCACGTGGCCCCCGGCGACACTCAGCAGATCTCGGTGAAGGCACTGCTGGACCCGCCGCTGGAGCTCAACAGTGACAGGTCGAGCAGCGTCAGCCCGCTGCTGGAGGTGAAGCTGAGCAACCTGGAGGTCAGGACCCCCATCAGCCTGCACATGAAAGTCTCCGCCGAGGTGAAGAGCGAACATTTCAGCACCAGCTCGGTGAGTCTGCAGTGCCTGAGGAGTGACTCGAAGGAGGGCCCCTACGTCCACATCCCTCTCAACTACAGCCACGGGGACACGGTCCAGGTGCACCTGGAGAACCTGGAGCCCTGCATGTACCTGGCCATCGTCGCTCACAGCGCCAGCATCCTCTACCCGGCCACTGTGTGGGATTTCATCCACAAAAAGGTCACCGTGGGCCTCTACGGTCCCAAGCACATCCATCCGTCCTTCAAAACAGTGGTGACCATCTTCGGGCACGACTGTGCCCCGAAGACGCTCCTGGTCAGCGAGGTCACCCGCCAGGCCCCCAGCCCCGCCCCTGTGGCCCTGCATCTCTGGGGCAAGCACCAGTTCGTACTGTCCCGGCCTCAGGACCTCAAAATTTGTATGTACTCCAACATGACCAACTACGAGGTGAGGGCCAGCGAGCAAGCCAAGGTGGTGAGAGGGTTCCAGATAAAACTGGGCAAGGTGAGCCGCCTCATCTTCCCCATCACCTGCCACAAACCCAGCGAGCTCTCCGACTTCACCCTGAGGGTCCAGGTGAAGGATGACCAGGGCGCCATCCTCACCCAGTTCTGCGTCCAGACGCTCCAGCCCCCACCCAAGAGCGCCATCAAGCCAAGTGGCCAGAGGAGGTTCCTCAAGAAGAACGAGGCGGGCAAGATCACCCTGTCCCCGTTTGCCGCCAGCACCAAGTACCCGACCTTTCAGGACCGGCCCGTGGCCAGCCTCAAGTTTGGCAAGTTGCTCAAGACAGTGGTGCGGCAGAGCAAGAACCACTACCTGCTGGAGTACAAGAAGGGCGACATGATCGCCCTGCTCAGCGAGGAGAAGGTCCGGTTCAAGGGCCAGCTGTGGACCAAGGAGTGGTACATCGGCTACTACCAGGGCAAGGTGGGGCTGGTGCACGCCAAGAACGTGCTGGTGGTGGGCAAGGCCAAGCCCAGCGTCTTCTCGGGCCCGGAGCTGAGCACGTCGGCGCTGCTGGAGCAAATCCTGCAGCCCTGCAAGTTCCTCACCTACATCTACGCCTCGGTGAGGATGCTGCTCATGGCGAACATCAGCAGCTGGCGCACCTTCGCCGACACGCTGGGCTACGAGCACCTGCCGCTCACCGCCTTCTGCCGTGCCGAGCTGGACAAAGAGTCAGAGTGCGTGGCGTCCGTCCTGGAGAAGCTGAAGGAGGACTGCAACATGGACAACATGGACAGGAGGTCCTTCCAGAAGGAGCTGATGATGGCCTTACTGAAGATGGACTGCCAGGGGCTGGTGGTTATACTCATCCAGGACTTCGTGCTCCTGACCACGGCTGTCGAGGTGGCGCAGCACTGGCGGGAGCTGGCTGAGAAGCTCGCCAAGGTCTCTAAGCAGCAGATGGATGCGTACGAGTCCCCGCACCGTGACAAGAACGGGCTGGTGGACAGAGAGGCCATGTGGAAACCTGCGTATGACTTCTTACTAACGTGGAGCCACCAGATGGGGGACAGTTACCGTGATGTCATCCAGGAGCTGCACACTGGCCTGGACAAAATGAAAAACCCCATCACCAAGCGCTGGAAACACCTCACAGGAACACTGATCCTGGTGAACTCGCTGGATATTCTGAGAGCAGCTGCCTTCAGCCCGGTGGACCATGATGACTCTATGATTTGAGCAGGTTCCGTCCCACTCCTGAGCTGGGGTCACACCTGGTCACTGTCAAGCTGGGAAGGGAGGTATAACCACCTGCCCAGTCAGCTATCAGGGTCCCTAAAGGCCAGACCCGGGACCAAGCACATGCCATATTCCACCCTTCTCCTCCATCAGGGAAGGCTGAGGGAATTTTCTACTGCAGGTTGTTGCCAATCAAATAGCTTTCTATTTGTTAAGTGTAAATTTAAAATCACTTTTTTAAGACATTAGGGCATGAGGCGGGGGGCTCACATGAGAAAGGTTGTCTTACTTTTTTTTAAAGGACTGTAAAGGTAAAAAAAAAAAAACAACCACAAACCACCACCTCCTGGGGGCAGATGCTATTGAGGTTTTTATGTTGTATAAAGACCTTTTTAAATTATGTTACAGATGTAAATATGTATTTAAGGTCATTGGGACATTTCTGATTCCCAACCACACTTTGCATTTCAGTAATTAGCACGGGAGGCAGTTATGCGTGTGTTGGGCCTTCTCCAGTTTATACTTGTAAAAGAGCACATCAGATAAGGGAGAGTGGTTTTCAGTAAATAAATGTCGTTCATGCCCATTGTTCAAAAAAAAAAAAATTTAAAAAATAGATGTATAGCTGAGAATTCAATGAAGGATAGCCATGAGTCAGGATCTACTCAATGGCAGTAGGTTTGGTTTGGTTTTTCTTTCTTGATGGTATAAGAGGAAATGACAGTACTTAGGCACAGAAATATATAAATGTTCAAGATACGTTGCAGCGAAGTGATCTCCTTGGAGGTTACATTTTTACGTAAGAACCAGTTGTTTTTACAAGCTGAAGGAACAGAGAAGGCCAGAATAAAGAAAGAACACTGAATCTCAACTCTCTGGGGTCTTCTTTCTTTCATTTTGCTAGTTTTGCAAAAGAGAAACCTTAGCACTCCTAATAGTGAAGATCCAACATGGTGAGAAAGTCTCACCCATAGGTTCTATCATCCATCACACCAGAGACTAGTGCTTTTGCCTCTGCTGTTCCCAACTTTTAATCTTGAAAAATTTCAAACCTAGAGAAACCTGTATTTCTCATTCTGTTTACTACCATTTTTCTGTACATGGTCTATGTCCTGCATGATCTCAATGTTCTTAAAATTTGTATTTCTTTTAAGCTGAGCTGTGTATGAGTCTCTTGCACACACTTCCCTCACAAAAACATCAGCATTTGTAAGAACAAGGACCTCTTTCTATACAAGCACACTAGAAAGATTACACTAGGGCATTTTGTCACTAACATAAAATAACTACACAGTATAGAAACCATATTTAAATGTCTCAAATTATCTCAAGAATGGCCTTTATAGCTTGACTAGTGCTTTTTAAAAACTAGATTTTTCCATTTCAGAGCAGCTTGAATTTTTTTTTAAATAATCATGCAGGAAGTATAGAGTTTGCATATTCTTCTGGTCTCTCAACACAGTTTCGCGTCTAATTAGTGTCTCCTATTGAATGAGAGTAGTATATTTTCTACAAGTAACCAATCAACAGTAAGATACTGTTGTTCTTCACCAAAGTCAAGAGTTTATTTTAGGGTTCCCCTTTGATATTGTGCAATCCTACAAGTTTTGAAAGGAACTCTGGTAGATCGTGCATAAAGGGTGAGGCTGCTAATAGAAAAGTCAGGGGTCCAAGTTCACCAGATGGTCCATGGGAGAAAGACAGGCAGTCTCTTCCTGTAAAGATTTACAGCCTTGGAAACCTGATGAAAGGTCACTACCAGGAGGGCCCAACTTAACAGAAGTAAATTTAGATTTGGTTTTACTGAATCTTGAGCAATGCTTAGTGACATAGATCACCGATACGCCATTAGAGTTTAAGGCATGTATCATTACACGTTGCCATAGTAATTTTTCCATTTCTATGTGGTACACAACAGAGTCACTGCCTTCAAAATGCCATCTGCTCTTTCTGCTCATCCCTCCTCCTGGTAACCACTGTTCTTTTCACTGTCTCTGTATTTCAACTTCCGAGAAAGTCACAAAGCTGGAATCATAGCGTGTGCAGCTTTTCCAGTCTCCTTCCAGTCTCTTTCCCTTAAAAATGTGCATTTAACATTTCTTCAGATCTTTTTTTTTCTTTTGTAGTTCGACCTCTCTCTCTCCCTCTCTCTTTTTTTTTTCTATTATGGAGTTGTACTGCATTATTTGGGCATATCAAAGTTTATTCATCCATTCACCTATTGAAGGGCATCTTGGTGATTTCAACTTGGGGCAATAATAGAACTACTGTAAACACTCAGCTTTTATGTAGAGATGCATTTTATTTCGTTTTGTTAAGTACCTAGAAGCAGGATTGTTGCATCTGATGATAAGTTTACATTTAGCTTTGTAGGAAATGTATGTTGTTGCTGCATGCCAGTGAGCCGATTCTGACTCATAGCCATCCGGTAGGACGAAACCGAACTGCCCTTGTTACACTGACAGGACTGCAGTCTTGACAGGAACAGATCGCTAAGTCTTTTTTCCTGAGAAACTACTGGTAAATTCAAACCACTGACTTTTTTTGATCAGCAGCTGAACACTTGACCAGTGTGCTACCAGGCCTCCTTTTGTAAGAAACAATCACTGGGGAGGAGTACTGAATATCCCGTGGACTACCAAAAGAATAAATAAGTCTGTCTTTGAGGGAGTACAACCGAGGTCCTCCTTAGAAGCAAGAATAGAGACACTTTTTCTCACGTGTTTTGAGCATGATGTTAGGAGAAGCTAGACCTTGGAAAAGGACATCAGTAGGGGAAAGAAGGGCGCTCAGGGAAAAAGAAGACCCCCAGTAAGATGGATAGGCACGATGACTGTAATAATCGACTCAAGTATATCAGATGGATGGCACATAATATGGCAGGGGTCAGAGCTGTTGTTCATAGGGTCACTGTAAGTTACAGTCGACTTGATGACATCTAACAACAATAACCGTGCCATATGCTGAAGAAGCTGTTGTTGTTGTTGTTGTTATGTTCATTTGGGTCACCCATGATTCATAGCGACCCTATGTACTAAATAGCTCTGAACCCTACCCTGTCCTGAGCCAGTCTTGCTGACTCTGACATCTATGCCCAATGCCCCAGTTACCATATCAATCCATCCCATCTGAGTTCTTCCTTTCTTGCATTATCCCCCCAGCTTTCCAAGCATGATGTCCTTCTCTAGGGACTGGTCCCTCCTGGTCATGTGCCCAAAGTATGTGAGAGAGAACGCTTCAAAATTCTTGCCTCCAAAGAGAACTTTGTTTCAGCCTCTCCAAGACTAACCTATTTTGTTTTCCTAGTTGTCCATGGTATGTCCAATGCTTTTCTCCAGCACCACAACTCAAAGGCGTCAGTCAGTTCTTCTTCTGTCATCCTTATCCATTGTCCAGCTCTCTTCTCTCTCTGATGCACAGCAGAACATGCTGGGGAAGTTGGAGGGTCAGTGAAGGAAAGGAAGACCCTCAACAAGTTGGATTAACACTGTGAACTTCAGCAGTGGGCTCTTGTGTCTCAGAGATGATGAGAATAGCAGGTTTCAGAATGGCTGTTCATAGAGTTCCTATAAGTCGTACTTGATTCGGCAGCATCTAATAATAACTCTCTGGCTACAAAGAGCCTTAGTAGCTTAGTAGATTAAGTGCTGGGTTGCTAAACAAAAAGTCTGCAGTTCTAACCTAGCAGCCAGTTCTCAGGAGAAAGACGAGGCAGTCTCCTCTCACTAAGATTTACAACCTTAGAAACCCAATAGAGGGTTGCCAGGAGACAGAACTGACTTCACAGAGGGTGCTTAGTTTACCATCTAGCCAGCTATGTCCAGTTCCAATAATTTGAAACAAGTCCAGTTCTCTAAGAGGGGAACAGGAAAGCTTGCAGATCACCTTTTGGATCTATCTTTCTAGAGTCTGTGATACCTCAGGAAGTTTGAGCATAATTAGATTGTGGGGCTTTTTTTAGATTGACTTTACAGGTCCTGTCTTAATCATTTCCTCATCCTCAATAATTACTGTGGCTGCCACATAGTAAGTAGAACCTCAATAAACTGCTACATGAAGGGCTGAATAAATGCTTTTCAACAGCACCCATAGCAGGCTCTCACCCCACTTCCCACTTTGCTTGGTTTGTAGATACGAATCCTGTTTCCTGCTTCCATTTTGCAACAATCACACAGTTTAACGAGAATGCACAAAGGAAAAGAATCAGAACTTACGAGTCTGTTCTTTTATGACAGAGGCAAGATATTACAGGAATGACAAGGAATTCTAACACTTGCAGGTTTTAACTCCTAACCAAACACATCAAGAGACTGAGAATCAAGAGTGTGAGGATTCAGCCCTATACACCTCTAAGCCTCCTTTGAAACAGAAACCCTCTGGCAACAGATGGTGAAAAGAAGAATAGGTTATAAACCAGAAAAAAAGAACCGACATTCTGCTACACGCTATGGCACAGATGAACCTGAAGACTTCAGGCTAAGTGAAATAAGCCAGACCCAAAAGGACAAACATTATATGATTCCACTTAAAAGAAATATCCAGAGCAGGTAAAGTCATGGAGACCAAAAGAAGGTTAGTGAATACTGGAGGGTTGGGTGAGGGGTAGAGTGGGAAGTTACTGCTTAATGGAAACCATTCCGTTTGGGTGATAAGAAAATCTTAGCAGCATATAGTGAAGACGAGAACACTACGAATGCAATTAACGCCACTGTATTTTGATCTTAGAAATGGCTAAATTTTTACTTGGATAAAATAAGCTTGTAAAAATAAAGTTTGAACTGAATCAATCAACTGCAAGCCTTTTGTCTTCATCCTCTTGAAAGGTAAGTGTTGCTGAAAAGGGTTACACAAGCACTCTCAGATTTCACTGGCATCCTTTTTTTTTTCTCCCTAAAGCCCATTTTGAATGAGAAGTGGAGTGGAACAGTGAATTGCCTCCATTTTCCCCATGTGGTCAGTTTTTGGAAAGAGAAGACAAGGGATTAAACGAGGGCACAGAT